GGAAATTTCTAAAACTCCTAACATTATGACGATCTCATTTCTTATTTTAAAAGTTGATTATCGAAGTACTAATTTTCATAATATTCTTTAATGCATCTTTTTAAGATAACAAATATTACGCCAAAAAGAAGTTTATGAAATTTTGTATTTGAACTAAAGTATATTTTCATTTTTCTCAACATGTGTATATTATGGGTCTGTAATGGGCATAAGTTTGATGATTAATTATTAAGGTAATGGAAGTTAGTACCGTCATTTGCAGAGTAGAGGTTAGGAAGGGAAAACTGGTAACTAATTAGTTAGACGTACTGCATATAAACAGTTAAGAACAATGAACGAAGTTGGGTACCTGATGACAAGGGATTATTATAAAAACTACTGTCAAGTGGTTTCAAGTTTTAAAAAGGAATGACTTTAAAGGCCACTACAGAAACGTTTGAGGTAACCAATTAGGCATACGCATATAGGCTACAAGGGGAGTCTTTGCTAAGTGGGGTTTTTGTCTGTTATAGAATGTAGTAGTTCAGATTTTTTAGTGGGAGGTGATGACCCGTGCATTAGTTAAATCAAGGTGGGAATATATATCTGTTGTAATGGCAACGAAGCTGACTGAGTTGACACCGCATGCTTGAAATGATAGTAGCAAAATACATGACTGTTATACTATCACATGATTCTGATTGCCTCAGTGCCTCACCTACTGAACGACACGCACGACAAGCTTTCACCCGTAACCTTTTAACTATCAGCCTTTCCTCCTATCCTACTGCACAATAGAAGTCAAAGACTAACAGCTTCCTACTATTGTATTCTTTCCAATATGTGTAAAACGACTGAATTACATGATTACAACACACTACAACTGATAATCTCCTTCCCAGAAATTGAAGTAATGTATGATATTTGATTTCAATTAACGTACAATTATTTGGCAACAATAAATCGTACGGAGTCGGTTAAGGAGTTAATACAAGCACTTGGGCTAAGGTATCTGAAGTAACACTGTAAAATGAATATGAAGTAAAATGTACTTTTAAATAAACAAAATAATACAGGCGATAATGCTTGTCTGAAGTTCCTACTTCCATTTCTTTGGCCTATTCATAATAACAATATCGCTGAAGATAATAAAATACGACGGCGCTGTTTGACACATGAACTGAAGTTGGAAAGTGTTGATCACCAATTTCGACCTAATATTTGCATAATCTTGATAAAATCCGAATATTCTGGATTCAGTAATATATGGAGGTGAAATGAATACTTTCAAGCATTCCAGGAGTCTTGAGTGACCCTGTAAAAGCCATTCCTACGTGAAAGATAACTTCAAATCAGACTTTATGCCCACTGATAAAAGTTTGCAAGGAGTAAAGGTAAATGTTTATCTGTAATGTATAACAAGCGTTCAGAGATTTCATTGTTAAGTACCTTCAGGAGGAAGTCATTTATCTGAAATAACGAGTTGCAGATTTCCCCAAAATAATTCAAGATTTTCACTTTTGAACTCATACTAGAAAAGGTTGACGTGTATAACAAGTTGAGAAGTTTCAGATATTGACGAAAAGTATGTATATTCTCCAGTGTTTCTGTTTGTTTTCTTAACTATTACCTGTAAAGGGTTTATATCTTTCGTTTTTCTCTGCGTCGACTTGTTCTACTTCCAAATGTTAAAGTTAGAACAGAGACAGCAGAATTTGCTAGCTGAATTCGTCCTGCAGTGGAAAAATTGTATACCATATATGGTAACATTGAACAATCAAAATCTAAACTTATAGAGACGGTCAATCAAAAAGGTTGAGAACGTTTAACATAAGACTTTGGTGAAGCCAAATTATTCAAATTCATATAGTCAAAGAATAATGAAGGTTCAACAAAATAATGGAAAAAAAGTATTGAGTTAGGAACAATGAGATCAACATTGCCACAGCGTCAACTGTTAATCAACAAAGTGGGTTATTAGTTTCTCAGGTAGCATTTGAAAGCCGCTATAGATAAATGTATAGAAAGAGAATTAACTTAAATTAGGTGTAACCTAAGGATGTCATCCCAACTAATATGGATCTCAGTGTATTGAGCTAGTGAAGCTCGTAGCCTTGCGGTTACACTTCAAAAGTTGGTTACCCTCCAGTTACTAATCAATATACCTAACCCAGTGCTACAATAGGTCAATCGCTGCCCGAACAGCTCAGTGAAATATCTCTGACTGCAACACTGGGTGATGCGGATTCGAATCTAAGACGAAACATCAGTTCCATTGAGGCTGCAGATGTGCCTTGGTGACGAGTACCGAAAAGCAAGAAACCTAGGTCCAGGGCTCCATCATACGTAATTAGCATTGTGTTTAATGGATAAAAAAGCCACTGAAGAGGTCCGAGTGCAATCGGCGATAACACTGAAAAAAAAGAAACAACTAGTATAGATTTAACAAAGCAAGAAAAGAAAGCTGTAAGGAGCCTTCGAAACAATAGGAATATGTTAGTAGACAAATGAGATAAACGCACCTCGGTAAGAACAATGAACAAATCCGATTACATTTAGAAAGACAACGAATATATTGAAGCAGGACCTTATGACGAACTACGAAACCAGTCAATACTGTTATGAATAAGGTGAAGGGATCGACAGCTGATGTAATACATCGAATGAAGCTATCTGAGTCAAAATGTCTAATTTAATGAATAAAACTAATGACTCCAGAAGGATGTACGGGACTGTTAAAGTCCAAAAGTCAGGTTGTACTATGAGACACAGTTGATTTTAAAAACGCCAACCTATAAGGTATCTAGATATTCAGGAATGATATTTTTAACCCATTAGGAATTCTTTCTAATTGATGTGTTTTTAATCCTGTGAACTAAGAGTAAAATTGATAAAAATAAAATAAATATTATGAAAATGATTATTTTTGGTGTAACAGACCTCTACACTAACTTACCAATGAATATAACTATTGTGGCATTCGAAAACAAGTTGGATGCTGAAAAAATGTCCGAATTTGAAAACAATGTACTAGTGGAGGAAATTAACAATAGAGATGTAATTATACATGACTTCTACAGTATTGAAGCTTCTGGATAAAAGATATAAATAAACAGAAGAAACACATGAGGAGTAGTAAGAAAAATAATTCATGGAATGCAAATATAGACACAGATAACAGTAGTAATAAGACCATAGGGAAGGAATTTAAGACTTTCGTTGCGTTGCCTTACGAAAAAGGGTCATTATTAGCCCCACATAGGACTCTCAATAAAGTTGAGATTAAAATGGTATCTAAGCCAAAAATTTCAATCATAAAAAAGCTTCTTCGGCTAAGGGATTCTGTGTAATCTAGCATAGGAAACAATTTTTTGTCAGTGAATTACCATCTAAAGACTAAGCGGTCAAGCTAGCCGACTGGGTTCAGTTCGGTCAGCAAAACACAAAAACCTTTTTTTAAAAAAGGAAGATCGACTGCACTAAGATAAAAAAACTAGAAAAACGCTCAGCTACAATCATACTTACTGTCACAAAGAATCACGCATTCAGATGGAATGGAGCGGCATTTTGAAAAAATACAGGAAGGTGAACACAAGGATTGATGACTGAAGCTGTGTTTATCGAATCAACACCTACCAAATGTAGTGGGAATGATTGATTACCAATCGCAGATATGTGGAAAATTCTACTGCCATTAAAACTAATGAGTGGAAGGTGATGGTACCAGATAAACAAAACCAGAAATTTGTGTAGTCACCTTGATAACATTATAATCAGTCAACTGGGGTCGAAATGCCACACACCAAACAATGCTGTTTCATTATGTGATGCATAAGAAAGTAAATATTCTCAGATCTGTTGCAAGTGGTCAAATAATTTAGCTTTCTCAGTTGATTTGTCCTACCATGGAAGGATTGACGTGTTCCATTAGTTCTTGAAAACAATAACAATCCTAGAAGTGAAGCCGGTCATTAATTATATTCAATAAGCAATCTAGTATGAAGGAAACTTAGACGGCAAACTTAGTTCAATACTCATCTACATAGCGTTATATTATTTACGGTTGAGTAACATATTACTCATAGAATATATGAATTTGGCTTTTCGTAGTGTGTCTACTTTATCTTGTTATAGTTGAAAGTCAATAGAAATGACCATATTTAGAAATTGAGAATAATGGTTTATAAAAGTAAGAAAATTTTTCGCTGATTATTTACGTCCCTATTCTTCGTTCGCATATTCAAGAGTTTTCTAGAACCTAAAGCAATTAAATATTGAGCCTATATGTCTAACCCTGAGATTCAAACTGATTAAAAAGTCTTACTAGGGAATTTCAGACAAGTGATATTATACTAGACCTAAATTCAAACAATTTACAAAATGCTTAGTTTTTGTAATCAAGTGTTACTGCTTTATCAGATGAGGTGTTAACAATTTTTTTCGGATTATTCCTCTCAATGGTAATCCTCGTGTATCAGAACAGCTTGGTTTTACGGAAATTGATACTTAAGACTGACATTTTAGTCATAGCTACCAGCTGAGAAAAAAGTGACGATTAGATTAACTTTGGAAATGAAGTAAAGCAATACTTCAAGATGACTGATGATGCATCTTAAGATGCCAATGGTTTTGTGTTGAATATTTGAAAATTTATTTCCCGTTGTCATAGTTACTACTATGCATTATCGGCTACGTTGGTGTCCGCAACTGAATTTTGGGTATCTTTCATCCTTCAAAATAAAACCGAAGTTACTAGCATAATCTGTAGTCTTCAACAAATTTAAGTGGACAAAATGAAAAATACTTTCAGCCTCTTATAATACAGCAGTTTTATCGATTAGGTCAGGGAAGAAATTATTATCTCTCAGTTACTCTGCTCTCTCTCCCTCCTGTCGCCTAGCTTTTAAGTATGATGCTAATCGTATCCTATTGATTTCTAGTCAGGTTGAGGCAAAAAGGAAGAAATGGTGACCTTGAGAGGTATGGTCTCATTGGCCAGTAGGGTAAGTCACTTCTTATGAAGAGTTTGCGCATACTTAGTCCAACAGCTCTGGTTTATAAGAATTTTCTCGAGGCGTTCTGAATCAATAAACTCTATATTTATTTTTAATTGTAGAATCATAATAATACTTTCCAAATAGTGATCCCAGTACTAGGGAAATCATGAGCTTTGGAAATTTCTTGAGACGTATATCATTTGACAGTGAGAAAATTCACTCCGATTCTCCTGCTTCGGACAGTACTGAATCATCTGAATGAATTCATTCTTTACATCACCCAGTAGGATTTTTGAAAGTGTCAATGCAAAAACAGGTCATCTTGTTTCAGATTTAAACCAAAAACTAGATATAAGTGGGAAACTTGACTCAATTAAACAAGCTTCAGTCGGAACATTAGAACAAGTTGTGCGCGGATCTTCAGTGAGTCGATCAGATAGCAAAGATACATCCCAAAAAAGTGAAACCCTAGAAGATGCTTCGAAGAAGTCGAATTTTGACCAAGATGTCAATGATTCCACCAGAAATTCCTTCTCATATTCACCTTCTAGTGATAAATCTAAAGTGAACTTCGACAGACCTGAGGCGACGAAGTCTTCAGCTAATGTTCAGTTTCCACTTAATCAAGAATCTCAAAGATCTGAGGAGTCAAATACATCACAGACTGGAAGTGGGCTAAGACGACAAAGCACACAAAGTACGCCACGTCCACCTAGACCACCTCCTCCAAGTACTGCAGCATTGAGTAGAGCCATGAGCTTAGATGAAACAAACCTTTCTGCACAGATTAAGGCATCTGGACCATCTGGCAATAAGGGACAACCAGTTGACGAACAGTCAGATGATCAGAAGACAAAGCATTCAAGAAGAGATGTGACTGCATTCAAAACAAATGAAGAGTCACGGATACTTCAGCAGCCTAGTGCACCAGTTATTGAAGAGGAAGAAAATAGTTCTGCTTCAGAATATGGTGAGAACGGAGATCAGCCAATTTATAGACATGAATCAGATTTACCAATCACCACGAGGGATCAACCAGATATTGGATTAAAGTTGTTTGAAGCACCAAAGGCAGAGCAGTTAAAGAAGAGAAGTTTTCCACTCCTCGACCATGTGCAACACTTCCTAATGCGACTAGTATAGAAGAAATTCAAGAGTTTATGGAATTGTATACTTCAGCTTTAATAATAGGACGGTAAGTCATCTGTATTATAACATTGGAATAATCTCCTGAGCTTTATTTTAGGTAATTATGGAATGACTGATTAAGTGAAACATTGCAAAACCTATAGTTACATTTTTATTTGATTGAAATTTTAGAAAAAATAGCCGGCCGATATTTATGTGTCCGAAGAAATATTAGTGCAATAAGTCATATACTCATGGTTCCCTGAAAAACTACCTAACCTAGTATTCTTATTATAAAGATCGAGCTCATAACTTACAAAGAACCAGACATTTGATGATATCACCGTTTAGTGTTTTAAAATTTACCAAACGGTTTGCATTTTTACTTTTAGCGCTGTGATAGGTATGGGTGTGAAAACTGAGAATGTAGTATAAATTTGTCATCTTAGGGTTTCCAGTGAATGATTAAAAGTTTACTCTTCGTTTAATGTTTTCCCACGAACTGTGAACACTTTTGAAATTCTCAAACTCTGACGTTGTGCTGTTAACGCTTTTTAGTCTTTCATCTGCAGCGTTTTTTCAAAAAATGAATGTATCTTAACTTATCAACAAAGATGTGTTTAAAAGAACAGTTTTGTAAGTAAAACAAGGATTTTTGAGGGTATGAAATATTTTTATTTGTGCGCATCATTTAAAAATATATAAATTTAGGGTATACACTAGTTAATTCTCTCTAGTAGAGAGGATCTAACACCTTTTGGGCACTAGATTCATAATTCTGTTAATTCATCTTACATTTTAAATTTAGGTTGTAAGAATCAAATAGTTGATAGACGCAACGGAAAATCACTGAGTATTTTCTAAATTTCAGTTTTGAACTTCAAAATACTATTCACTCCTGAGCTTTTACCGGTGACAAATTTTTTTCAAATCTAGTGTTTGGAAAATCATCAACGATTTATGCATCTGAAATCAGATTAGTTACGATTTTTTCTCTTTGTACTGTAAAGCATACGTCATCCCATAGAACAGCCATTTATTCGTATGAGTTATAGGCTGTATTAGCTAGTCATTATAGGACTTTCAAATGAGACATTGGTAACATTTTCCGCTCAAAGTGAACCCGCAAAAC